GTTCTGACGGCATTGTAGAGGCTGTGGGGAATGTATCATTCGCATCGGGGTACCCTATCTTACATACAGGAAGCTTATCGTAGCTAGTTGTACGCAATGGACCACACATTTGGACAGCTCATCCGAATACATCTTCCACTCAGCTTTTGTCGTCACGTTCTCGTCCAAATCCTATTTTCACAACTTTTTCGAGGTCCTATTTCTATGAATATTCCGATTTTCGCGTATTTTTCGCCAATTTTGCACTATTCCTGACTATCACTTCCAACATCCTTCTAAAAGTAGAGCCCCAAATTTATCGTGAAATGTGGCTTCGAAATAACCTCCCCCAATCTTCCCAGGATTCAGATAATAGAGAAAGGGTAGAACAAGAATTGAAGGAATTAATTTTAAAATTTCCATAGAAACGTTCACAGGATTGCAAAAAACTCCCAATGGACCTTCACTGGGCCGAAATTAGTTGGTTTGTGGTTACGGGCTTTGAATTATGAGCATTTTCTGAGAGAAATATATGTACATTATAATGTAAGTTATTTGAATGTAATCAACGAAATAAAACAATAAAGCAATTTTACCGTATATTTTGTCCAGGTGGCTGGCATGTAGCATGAGACATAGACGAGCCAACTTCGTGAATAACTCAAACAATAGGATAATGCTATTTCGAGATTTTCCTCGTTAACGATCCCGAAGGCGTTATTTTGTCGACCCGTTTCTCGCGCCAACGTTTTGAATATGATTTATTTTGAACAACTCTGAAAGAAAAACAGTCGCTCATCTCTTACAATGAACTCGCTACTGGTAAATAGAGGTAACGATTGCAACAAAAACAAATATTTACAAGAAAATATTTTGAAAAAAAATATCCAGGCTTGTCATCACTCCAGAACCTGTTTTCGAGTAGATTTTACATTGCAAACTTTTCAGGACGTTGTTTAGGTATTAGTCGCACTCTATCAACAAAGCCGGTGTCATTTACGGTATCGTTATTTATTTTTATCGATTTTTGATTTTATTTGATGTAAATTTCGAAGCAAATTCCAATGAAAAAGTTTTTTTCGAAGTAAACCACTAATCCTTTGCACATGGAAAACAAAAGACACATTAAGGATGAATTGAGTGGGCGTCTGAGGATGCACCCCGCTTTCTACTTTCATGCAGCGTTGTAGTGGCGTATTGAATGCGTATTGGCCTATACAATGAATTGAGGTGGTCAGACGATATACAAGTCGGTGCTTTCGTCCCCAAATGAGTCTGAAACCAATTAACCGGCCCGGAGGAATTGCAGACTTTGTTGGGCTAGGTGTGTATATATGCGGGATTCAATCCCTTGACCATGTGCATGTGATAGTGCTCTAATTACGGCCACACCACTTCCGCATGAAGAAACAAATAAATGAACCAAAGTAATTAATTGAACACGTTCAGCACTACCTAGATAGCCACAATGAAGTTGAACGGGGCTCAACTGAACGTTCTAATTGATCCTTGTTGGTATGGTTTTTTAAAACATGGTACTTCGTTGAGCCTGCTGATCCCCTCGACTTCTTTGCTGTACGATTTTCAAAATTTTTTCGAATCTAAGAAAAAAATTTGGTCTAGGTAAGATTAGAAAAAGAAAAACTTTAGTCTCGTATCGGAAATAAACAGATAGGATTAATAAGATCACTATGGCACAATGGCTAAGATTTGCCATTCATTCGGGACTTCCGCATTAGTGCATTAACACGGGCAGAAGATTCCATTACCGACTGCGTACGTGTAAGAACACAATACTAGTTTTTCGCAGTAATCTTATACTTCCGGTTGACATCAATGTATCCGTATTGATAGCAGAACTTACTACATAGGGCTCTTTTCGAGAACCAGATATAGCAAAACACCGGGGAAGGGCTTAACCAAAGAGTTTAATTTATGAAAATCTATTAGGGATTTATTTATTTATTACCCTTGGAATCCTACTGGATGATAGATATTCAACGAAAATTCTCATTTCCTCCCACGATTTCTGCAGTATTCAGACAGTAGAGAAAGGTGGCGTAGAACAAAAACCAAAGTTTTCAATATTTCTTAGAGGCTTTCACTGGATTGCAAAAAAAAAACATTTTATGGAACCTTTCACTGAGCAGGGATTGTAGAGGAGGATAGAGCAGAGTAGAGTACGAAAAAATGGGGAAGAGAATATAAGAAAAGATCTCAGAAGACTAGAGAAAAAAGAAGTCAGTAAAAGCCTGTTTTCTCTTCGGGACCTATCCCCCTGTTACGGGACGGTCGGTCCTACAGGGAAGAATGTGTATTTTTTTGAAGAGACGTCATCAATTGAAAATGAGAGAACGTGAGGGCTGGGACGTACTAACTCACCTTCTTTTCAGTTTTACTAATTGGATCTATCTCATGAGTAAAGTATAAGTAATGCAGATGGTGACAAAAGTTTTTGCATTTAAAAACCTATGAACGATATGAGCACAACACGTTTTTCAGCGACTTCTTAAACCTGTTCACCGCCATGTCAATTGAACCATTTCAATTTACTAAGTAATGACGCTTTTATTAGTATATCATATTCTATGTACTGTGGTAGATCAACAAAATGACGCCGAATACCTTATTCAAATTAATATAATATCGCAATGATGACAAGGATATGTGATAATGACAAACATGACGAATGAATGAAAAGGATGAGGCATAGTAAGTAAGGTTGATGAAAGGCCCTATCAAGGTTGTATGACTGATCAAGGTTATTTGGCACAGATTCTCTAGTTGAAGCAAATACAGTACTCATTCGAGAACACTATACCTTATAACTGGTTTGTTTTACTGACTATGATGGACGGTATGCTTAACTTGTGTGATGAGAAAAGAGTAGCAATTCTCTAAAAAAGGAGACCGAAATGTTGACTTCAACCTCCCCAGGGTCCCTGTGATCAACCGGGCACGTTCTGCAAACTGAGCCACTTCTTTGAAGAATTCAGATAAAGGTATTTTCCTGTACGGAAAATGCGGTCGTGCGGTCCCGGAGAAGAATGGAACGAAAGGAACTCGAAGAGGGAGCCCTTTCGAGTAAAAATCAAAATGAGATGGTGGTATAGTAGTACAACACCCATCAAATTTACCAACTTTTTTTAGTGGTTGCCTCAAGGGGGAGAGCAATCATAATGGAAAAAGCGGTCCTTCGATCTGCTGTGAAGGAAAAACTCAGTTAATCGAATTCGGACCAAGGTGGTACACCCTCTGAGACCTCTCGAAGAACTGGGATCTTGACATTTTTAGAATTCCTGAATTCCAGCCCCATTTCAGTCAAAACTAAGTCAAGGTTAAACAAAAATGACTCTCTAAATAAAAAATATGTCAAAAATCCTTCATTATTAATCTTGATTGCTTAGGAATTCCAGTAGATATAAGGCTAGTGACGTGATCATGCATGATGAATAGGACGAATCTCAACCAGTGGTCGATCAGAGTAACAAGTAGTAGTGATACTGTATTAAAACACCGTCTATTAACCGGATTAAATTGTACAGTCTTATTTTTTACATGAAGTACATATGATACAAGAAAAAACGTCAATGTTACTTGTACAACATCATTTGAAGTTGCACCAGTTAATTGAGCAGTGGAACACATAATTCAATGAGGTTTTACAAAAAAAAGAAGTACGTTCTAAACCATTTCAGCGCGTAGAATAGAATCTTTTTTATGAAGTGACGTCATTGATGAACGTAATTAAATCAGGTAAACAACAACACAACCTCAGACGACATCGTAACATTGGCGAGAACCGTCGTATTAAAATTATTACTGAAGTGAATGAAGAAGAGTATGACGTGTTTAGGCTAATATATTTAAAGCGAATTATGCCCCTGATTTGGGGTGGAGGGGGGAGGGGGGAGTATGGNGTTTGGGGGGGGGGGGGGGGGGGGGATTTGGGTAGGATTGGGGTGGAAGTGGGGTGTATGACGATGGCAATAACGAGGTGTGATGGCTGATGGACGGATGGACGGACGGATGGACGGACGGACGGCCACGTACACATCAGCTAGTCATCACGAGCTGATACTACCTGCTCACTGATCTCAGCCATAGCCGACAAAGTGGTGCTAATCCAGTGTTGCAATGTGCTCTTCTTCTTTCCATCCCCTTTTGTCTGCCCTTCGTGCTGAAAAATCGATATCTCTCTCTTTGCAAACTCCAGAAAAGAAAATGGTCTTCCTAGGAAAAAGTGAAAATAGATAGCTTTTCTTTCCAGGTCTCCAATATGGAAATATAAGTTACAGCTCAGTTACAAAGTAAGTTTGTTCCAAGTCTAAACAGTTAACTCAAAGACCGGCTAGAAGTACTCATAACATTTTATAGTAGTCATTAATCTATCATTTAATTGTTCCATTTCTGCGGGCATAAGGCGAAAAAAAGTTCCTTGTGATTAACTCGCGAAAAGTTTAAAATTAATAATAAAATGAATCGAATAACGAGTCAGCCATGTCAGGAAGATTGTTCGCTTTTGAGATGCGCCATGTATTCGACTTCTATTCAAAATTTCTGCACCATTTGTAAGCTTATTCCTCTAAAACGGTGACTCAAGGAAACTTTAAAGTAGTACCACTTATCCTCAGTACACATTTGACGCAGATCAATAAACCCCTCGAAGAAGAGGAACCCGTTTAGTCTGAGGACCTGATCCCTCCATCATGCATTTGACAGCCTCGAGACCTTTGTTACTTAAGCCACACGAATTGGAGGGCAAAACAAATTATTTTTCGCCACTTTTCAAAAAGTTAGTAATTTTCCTAGTAACACTGATTAGTTAATGGCTCTATTTTATTCCAAAAAGTTGCTTCTTTTTCAATAATAATGATAGTAATAAATAATAATAAAGTGGACTCACCCGGACAAACTCGCTGGGCACGTAGACAAACACATCATCATCGCTCTGAAATCAGTACGGTTAATTTGTACCAATACATTTGCATAAACACTTCAAAATGTTAGTTTACTCTATTAAGTTTACTCTAGTAAGATTGATTATTAGTTATAGGAGTTATGATTATAGTTAAACTTATAGTTATAGATAGTTATAGGAGGTCATGCAGGTTTAGTAGTTATGCACTCACAAAAAAAGAATACCAGTTCATCGTAGCCATCAAAATGGGCTTCTGTACCGTCCCTTGTACACTATTCCGCAATGGATGAATGAACTTCTTAGCCTCAATTAATACCCTGCTGGATGCGCCACGCTTTAGCTTCAATTCAAAAACGGATTTGATCGATGCCAAAAACGTTTCTCCTTCACATGGTACTAACAACTGACCAGGGACCGCATAATTCTACGACAGTAATCAGATCTGTCCCTTTTGTCTCTATATGGCCGACGAGGTGAAGCTCATGGGTGTCTTGGTGCGCGGCAGGGAGAGGATAGGAATCATTAGAACGAGATCTGAGNCTCTTTTTTTGCCGAGCTCTTCCTCTGCGCTTTTCGAATAAGTATTAAATGTATTAATATATGTTCGAAAATAGTTTCGATGGGGCCTCTAAAATAGAAAGTCGGCCCCTGTTGCTCGGTGTCAACCTTGAAGCACAGCTGAGCATTCATACCTTCCTAATTATGTGGACTTAGTTTGCATAATTACGTCAGCCCACTTAGTTTTTCCTGTAATAATACCTGAAAATATCAAATTATGGTAATTCAAAACGTCATTTCCTCATTCAAAAGTTCATTTCACGTCATTCCACGAGCCTGTTTACCCCTACGCTCTTCTCACTAACTGAGGTCAGACTTTATTTCGGTGAAAAGTTCAAATTTACTAGATTGAGAAGTGTTTAGTTCTGTCATAAAGCTTATAAGAGATCTTTTATGCACTGAAACCCAGGCATCGTTAAGTGAAAAAGTGTTTTCAAAATAAATAATTAAATAAATAAATAAATGGCAAAGAAGCGTGCTCAGCAAAAAACCGAACTTTGGACCTCGTGAGCCTGACCGCATGCAGCGCTACCTGCTTCGCGCATTCTTATCAAGAGGTACAAGGAAAATGAATTTATGTCTACTTTTACAACAAAAAAGTAAAGTTTAGAAGGTAGAGGAGGGGAAATGGGATGGCTACGATGAATGAGCGTTCTTTTGTTGTTAGGAGAAAGAAAATTGAATCACCTGAAAGATTTCGGTGTGGGAAAAGCCTCAGAAATCCTATCAGTTATCAGTGACGTACCAGATAAATTCAAGGAATTTATTGTGTCATATCATGAACAATGATGAGACTTGCGATGAATGAATCCGTGAATAAAACTCTGTCAGCGTTTTTCTCTTTGCTCGTTTACAAAATCTCTCGAATTAACCATCTACATAGCGCCGTAGTATAAATTTGATATATTATGTACATGCAAGCATCACAAATTAAATCAGAGAGATAAAGAAGAAAAAAGTGAGAATGACAGAAGCCCAAACATAGTCGTAGAAGGAAAGGAAAAGAAAAAAGAAACCGAAAAATCATCTCTCAAAGAAAGCTGCCGTCACACACTTCGGGACACCCCGTTGGCGCAGCGAGTGTCGATTGAGCACGGCAAAATCAATACCCATATTTTGATATAGGCGCTAGAGGGTGAGCGGAAGTGTAGTCAGCTCAGAAAACAAAAAATAATCGGGGCAGGTTTGAAAAAATGCACGGGGAATACAACTATAAAATAGAGAAATTTGCTGTGTAATTCCTAAATTGAGAAAGTTTTGTACGTTTGTAAAGGGAAATGGAAAAAAAGGGAAAGTTGATAGGATAGAAGAAGGAAAATAGAAAAAAGGCTTTTTAAAAGAGCATCTATTGATTTATACAGAATCTTCTACCTTTACTGGTTTCAACAGCTTTTCTTTTGCTATACACTTTCGCATATCTTTGGCTGTCCATCGGTCTTTTACCCGCGGTGTGAGGGTTCTGAAATGACTGGCATTGTCCTTAATATTCATCCTAACATACCAAGGTCAGGGTAAGCCATGCTGACAAAAGTACTTTTGAAGTGGTACCTATATGAAAGGGCATGAGTGGTTCAGTTACAAACCGAGGACTGGATTTCATCTCTCAGAAATGCCATCAAGTAAAATTCTCGTGACAGTGAGGCACCGTATATGAGTGCTTGCACTTTAGGTTTTTCTTCACTGTGCCTATTTGATATTGTGAAACGGGAATATTCCATGCATACATGAAAGCCAATCGCTTCTCGCCAATAAAAAGTGAACTGCTATAGTTTTCAGCGTCTTCGGCTTCATCCCTTTCCTTACTTTGTACCAAAACATGGCCAAAACGAAGTGTAAGCAAATTATTGTTTCAAAAAACTGAAAGTCGATCAACCAACTTTTTCATAAGTTTCAAAGCTTTTTCACTGAACGGTGTCCATCGTTTAGGTAACGTCGGATTTTTCCGTTTCAACCATTGTTCCCATTCCCAATACGGTTTGCACATGATCGACGCCTTCTGCCATGGAAATCGTCCTTTCATACAGTAATAAAATATTACACCTGAAAACCAACGAGTTATTTGATTATTCTTCATCGTTGACCCAATTTTTCAATTTATTTAAATATCTTCTGAGGGGAAAGATCGTTTTTCGGCAGATTCTCCTGTAGTAGGCATTGGCAATGTGTATTACTACTTCTTCCTAGTGTATTCAAGTCATCCACCGACGGAATGGAAATAGCCAGGGCGGCTACATTGGCGCTGTTACTGGAAGTTCCACTTTATAAGGTTAATTATGCTATTTCCCTATCCTAGGGCGGCTGTTAGGCATTGTACTCATCTGGGAGGATCGAGTGGTTAATCCTTACATTGACCCCTAGAGACTCCTTCGGCTGGAGGTGGAATTCGAGATGTATGACGGAGAAAGAATGATCACTGAGGCAAATCCACTTTAGGTTTTCTTGTTGTTACTCTTTTGGGACTTGGTGATTTTTTATATCCACGATTTCAATATTTGAAGAAACTTGAACTCGCCAAGATAGTAACGTTACGGAGTTTGAAGCGCCTATTCTACTCGGAGCAGGGGTGTGTTGCGATTCGTGCGATTCTGAGTGCGCGCGGCGAGTTGCGCGGCGAAATTCGGTGCGATTTGGACGACTACAGCGTTTACCATTGGGGCCCAAATTCGAAGTAAACTAGGTTAGTAGGATTGTCCGAACCTACTAAAGTACTCTACCTCAAGTTTGTGCCCCAGTAATAGGCGCCGGAGTTGTTTGAATCGTCGCGAATATCGCCGCGCAATTTGCCGCGCGCGCCCAAAATCGCACGAATCGCACGTCCCCCNCCCCCTTGGAGCAGTAGTGTAGCACGTCAAAAGCTAGCTTAGGCTTACTGTAGGAGTCAAGGGCTGCGTGACGCAGTTTCACCGTCAGCATGATCGATATATCGATCTTGCAATATGATACATAGAATGAATCATCAGACAGTTCAAGGTCAATGCTAGGAACTACTCCAATAGTTCGAATGAAAGAAAAGTTCATGATGGATTGAACATTGATGTAATCAATCATTTACTTATCGTAAAGTTAGTAAACACAAAATGAGAACTTCATTCTCCTGGAATCAGGAAATATATCGATTGATCAAAGAACTGAGCCGAAACTTCATCAAAGAAAGCGCCTTTGGGTGCGATAGGCAAGCTATTTTTGAAATTTTCAGCGCTCGACAGACATTTTTCAAAGTGAAGTGCAAGGTTTTTCAATTGTGACCCAACATCTACCACCGGAACCTTTGCAGCAGTCACGTTTTAACCAAAAAACTTATTTGTCACATTAGTCCATCATTTATCAAAGTGTTACTTAACTACTGTACTGTCATTACTTTCTATCTAGTTAAAAGCTGTCAGCGACATCTGTTTACTTGGTAAAGAATCGTGTGTCACGTTCGACGGAACAGCATTAACACGGTCGGTCGGCCGGCCCGCTGCAGGGTCGAGTACCAGCCACTTGAGCGTTGTGATCGCTCCAATTAGCAAAAGCGGACTATTTTAGGTCCCACTCCCTGTTGGAGGATGAATTTGGACCCTCATAAATGTCAAGGACAATGGGAGAACAAATTGAAAACTTTTAAATATCGTAAAAAAACTGCAGAGTAAAGGTTGTTCACTGAGGATCCGCTTTAAGTTATAGCTGGCAGTGATAATTTTTAACGAGTCATTGGCAAAACGTTGGCCTCGGACGGAACTCGAACCCTTTGTGGTTTGCGGGCACAGACCGGGATGTTTGTGAGCATTTTTCCTAAATTTTGTAATGGTCCTAATGTTGCTATTTGTCCCCCCTCACCCAAGTCGGTAGAATGACGATTGTACCGGTCATGTCCACTGACCTCACAGTAATTCTGCCTTTTTCAATGGCTCGCTACTATTTTCAGCCATTTTTTATTTTTGGTATTTATTTTCTGCTATACGCCTTTTCAATCGGAGTTTCCATGGAGGAGCTCGACTTCAAGCGGTACAATTGGACCCCTCCCCAACCACGTTCCCTTGGGTAAAAAAGTTAGCAAGGGATTCGTTGGAAACCCCCAACCCAACGCCCTGGGCACTGACTTAGGCTGCTGTGGTCCAGAATTGTGTAAGGGGCCGTCAATGTAAAATGTAACAAGTTATTGATTTCCCCAGATCGCTCAGATTAGTATAAATCTTCCTGGAATGGCCATAAATTATGGGAGCTTTACTCGACAACAGGAGCAGCAAGTTTTTTTTNTTTTTTTTCGAAACTCTGTTGTGCTAACATATAAAAATGAGTGTAGCGCAATAAAAAAAAGGCGTCACTTGGCAGTTGCCAGGTTCCACGACCAATTCCGTGATATAATACCGCAAACTAATTGTTGCATACAACTGTAACTTTACACTATTGTTACCACCTTTTCTTGAGTTGCAACAGACATGCAAGCTGTATTTTGCGCTTTCGTCAAGAGCATTCTCAGAGGCTCTTCAGAAATAGAAACACTGGTTGCGATAAATTTAAGTTGTGAAAGTTAAAAGTAGAGAAAAGTAAAGATGACAAGTAAAGTGTTGATAAAAATCAAGGAAAGTTTCAAACCGCAAACTTGGTGAGTTTTCCCAAGCGAAAATTGAATAGCGTTGAAGATTCTAAGCCATTTCTCGGGCTTCCCACACATCAGGGCAGTCTTTGCAGTTAAACGTAACTTACATAACCATTACTACTTTCTACTGCCTTACTTACTTCCTACGTTACCTGACATTGACCTCTTGAATCGTCTGTTCTGTTAGCTTGTAACTTTTCCCTCACTCAGAATTTGTAATTGGGCTTATCGACCCATGGGATCGGCGAAACGGTTGCGTACTTTGAGAACAGCATTAGTGATGGTAACACATGTTCATCGTCGATTATACTGATTAATTTCATACGATACTCAACAAATCAACCCCAGCGGTGTTGCAATCGTCGGCTCACAACAATGTTTGGACCCACGCCACCGTGTTTCGCTATCAAACCACCCGATAAAAAGATGTGTTAAACCACGCTTTGATCGATTTCCGACGAAACAGCTGTTCGTGGGAATGGCACTTCGGAAGTGGTGTTTTGTTAACAGAAAGAATGAATTCCATTGAGTATCCTCCTAGCCCCCTGTAACCTATACACCTTGAACATATGAAAGCAACTGAAAAAGTCTACCAGTTTAGGCTTGAAACGAGTTCAAGAGGAAATTCCATAATACAGTAGTTGGAAGCAAAGGAAGCCGTACATAAAGGTAACTTTTACAAGTAAGTACGAGGACAACATTAGGGACAACTATGGTGAGTGCGAAAACGTTAACATCATGAAATAACCAACTTTTGAAAGTCATTTCATGAGAAAGGTCCCTAATTTCTAGCCCGTCGCCTTCCCCTAAGAAAAGGAGGTAAAAATCTGGAGAGGCTCCCTGAGGTTAAAAAAATGCTAAATATGAAGTTAAGGTATTCAGTATGACATTCACGAAAAAGTACTGAAATGTCTCGGGATGGTAAGATTTCGCCGCTCTTGGATGAACGGCTATCAGAGTGGACGAGTTTTCCGGTGCTTTGAAATTTGATCCCCTGCTCGCTAAAACAGCTTCTTAGCGGAGGTGATCGTTTCGAATTTTTTCTCGTGTATATAAAAACGTGGCAAAGTATCAAAAAAAGTAATGGGCCAGATCATTCTTTAGCTCACAGGGCTAGAAATAACCCGCGAACAAAGATGGTACCAATTGTGGGCCTGTTTACTTTGTTTGCGAGGCATCCTTACCAGAGAAGCCATCTAATATGGTCTCTTACAGAAAGGAGCTTCTTTACTACAATCATTCACCAACCTGTTAACTTTACTTACTGCCGTTTGCAAAAGTAATGCTAAAAATATCCTGTGTAGGTTTCTCAGCTTCATAGAAAACTGAAAATTTCGACAGCTGCATGGTGCAGCTCTTGCGCAAACAATCATGTTACGGCTGAGTTGTTACGTCAGTATTGTTTAAACTAACAGAAAGTTACCTGTCAACTAAATAAAAGTTCACGATTCGTTTTGAAAAAAGACTATTTTTTCTATTGATCCTGTATATGAACGTGTTTTATGACTAATAATACAGATAAAAATATTTCACTGCTTTTTGCGAATTCCATACGATTACTAGTAAAGTTTTACTTCCATCCATTGTTTTCAACATGAAGTCACCTACAATTGCTATTTTCCATTCTTTAGACCCTCCGTCAACCACGCCCATTATTAGATTCCCTGTCAACCACGCCCACTCCGACCAATTGTGAAGTGATAGGCGAGGAATGCTGACTGAAACGTAAGGCACAGTCCAGTCAAAGTCCAACAGTTAAGTAAAAGTAATAAGGAAAATACATTGTTATCATTGAATTCTTTCTGACCCTTACATTAGGGACTTATGAAAGATAGGCGCGGCAGGTAAACCGCGCTTGTCAATAAACATTTCCCGCCTCAATTCAAAACAGTGGCAGTAGTGTGGGAGTGTGACGACTTCAAATGATCTTTAGTACTTGCAAAATTGTAAAAGTAATCAAGTAGGACAAGATACTTACCAAGAGCCCAGATATCCGTGCTTTTATTCACAGTTAACATTTCGTTTACAACAGTTTCACACAATTCCGGTGCATGATAGTTGTTCACATACTCCAAATATTTCACAGCTGCGTCAACTTTACGAGTTAAACCAAAGTCAGTGATCTTAGCCTGAAAAGTGATTTATTTATTCCCTGTAGACACTGTCCAAAAAGAACGTTTCTATCATGAAAAATGATCATCTCCTCACATATTTGTACCGTATGGGCATGTAAGGGGGCTGAAGAGTCATAATACAGCTCGAGTTCTCGAGGATCATCTAAGCAATAGAGGGCCCGTCAAATCCAAACGCTCGTGAAAAAGGGTCAACAAAGAAAATTGGATGATCTGTTTATATGGGACATCTAATAGCATGCAGAAACATCATAACAACCAATTCCCTGAGTTGCGGTTGCATGCATATGCCTCAAAACCAACTGAGAAAATTGTGTGGGTCAGGAGGTGCCATCATCCCCTTCACAGTTTAACGCATACGAGTGCGTACCGTGCGAGTGAGTGGCACCTCTCAACAAGAAGTCATATCTAAACAGGGAGATATCAAAGGGTCTCATGCCGTTTTCACCGATTTTCCCACAACTTAATAACAACTTTCTACCGGTTTGGAGAGCTCGAAGTATTACCCAACTGAATAAATTGTCCTCAGAAGGTCGATAGACACCGTGGCTGACACTTTCCATGTCTAGGGGTGCTCCATCAAATTTTTAACAACGTCGTCGAAAAAATCTCATGAAAAAGGGCTGATGTGAAGACATCTCAGCTTCTGACTTATTTTTCTGCCCCTTTGGAAGTTGCGAATTCAGTAACACCTATGAGAAGTTAGGTTCAAGGATGGCAATAATTCTTATTGTATCTCGTACTCGACATCCAGTTACTTCGAAAATGTGTTTTCACACATAAATGACCAAGATTACTGAAGTTCGGATGGGTGTGTACGTGTGTGCGGTTTGAGAATGTCGTGAATTTTCGATGTAAAGTGATGAGTCAGTTCATTAACGTGCAACGCGAAACAACACGATTTTAACGTCACATGCTCGAAGATCTACGCAAAATCACGTGCCATTTGAAATAAACGATGAAAAAAACCAATCAAACACTTTATACTTCGTGCTTGGGCCATAAAATAAACGTTCAGCCTAATCGTTAAGGCTGAAGCAAGCCGAAGGGTGCTGGGGCAAGAGCTTTGACTACCGCACAGCCACATCCTAACATTTGCAATCGGGTCCTTGCAGGCTATTCATTCCCTCGGGTTCGGCCACTTTTGTGAGAGCCTGTCTGGGAAGGAAAAATACCGCCGTGAACTTAGGCCGGCCCCAGAATTTTGTTGCACCAATCAAACTCGTTTTCAGTCATCATTTCAATTTTGAAAGAAAACCAAATGCGTGGCTTATCCAGGAAGAGGTGTTTACCACAAAATTCTTGTTTTTTCACCAACTAGATCTAGCGAAATATTATTTTTTATACATTTCCGTCGGTCTAGTGGATGCTTTGAAATTTTCACCTTATAGAGTTTACTGTACAGAAGTGGTGTAAGCGGGGGACCCACTTAATTGCGCCCAATTCTGAGGACCCTTCCTCGAAATCAATCTTTAATGCTTAATATCTTGCGGTTGACTGTAAGTAAAAGAGCCTGTCGTATGGCCTGATAGAAAAAGTCCGTCCGTTCAAGTGGCATCTTAAGTGATCTGAAAGCATCGTCGTCGATGATCAGACGGGGTAAATGTGAAGAACCGGATCATTTCTCAAGTGTTTAAGAATACAAGATCGAGGTAAGGGATTTCTTTGAATGATGACGTCATTGCAATGGTAAACAAACAAGAAAAAATCATTCAAAATAAACTTACTTTAGAGAAATCATTACTGTCAAATAGCAATATGTTTTCCGCTTTCAAATTACGATGTACCAGATTTTCGCTGTGCATAAATTCGATGGCCGATAGCACAGCTCCAAACACCTTCTTCGTGTTAGCTTCACCAATTCCTAAATTTCCANCATTGCTCAAGCTCGTGTCCATACTAAGTATGCCTATCGATTGGCTGACCGGTCAAAAACAGGCTAATCGATAGAGCAAGACGTTTTTTGTAGTGCCACCACTGGTCGGTCCCCTATAGCTACTGGGAAGGGTCACGTGTTCACTCTTTGAACTTTTCTAACGACACCTGTCCAAGGGGTTATGTGTGACACATCTCATATATTTAATGTGAACTTTATGTAGAACATAACAAAAAGAAAAACCTTGCTGATTAGTTGCCTCGACCGCTTCCCTGAGTGATGCTCGAGGGCAGAATTGTTGAACGAAGAAGAATGCTGACTCGTCTCCTGTCTAAAGTTCATAATTAACTACTTTTAAACGAGTAAATATCCAAGAATTGTTGTTGTTCACTGGTTGAACTTCACTTTGTTATGTTTATTGATTGGCCTAATTGCCGGGTGCATCGGCTTTCAAGAGATCCTGAGAGATAAGGCGTTGAAAATACATAAAAAGAATATAGCCTAGAAATGTTCCGACAAACTTCGCATGGGCTCTTCGCACCTCGCCAGAGGAGTTACAAGTAAAGTAATTCAACTACTAGTTGAACAGTCAAAGTTTTATAAGATTCTGGGAAAAGTGCTTGAAGCCTCAGACTTATGAGCGCTTTTTTGGGAAGTCTGAGAAACGGTGTGATTAGGCCCAAAGCCAAGGTTGGCCCCCAGTTCTGATAACCCTTTGAAAGGTTGAGACAGGGGAGGGGCGAGTAGGATACTACTTCTAGGTAGTAGTGGTGTAAACTCGAGTCACAAAATGCATGAAGTTGAGCAGGTGATTACTCGATGAAATGCTTATTCGACTAAATTGAAACAGTAAACTCAGTAACAACTACAAAAAGCTCACTTATGTCCTGATCAAAAAGAACTCTCGGAATATTCCTCGAAGGATCAACCTTATATTAGCTGGTACGGTACATACCATCCTACTGCACTCTCTAAAGAGTTTTGTATGTAACCTCTGCTTTCCTACTCCTAGTAAATATTATTGTTAGGTAAGTATTTCTACTATGTGGTAAGTGTAATTATTCAGAGCCTGATAGGATATTCTACCAATTGTCTGTGTTTCAGTCGGGCTGGCATCGAGCCTTCGGGTTTTTTTGAAGGGTGCACACCGGGATCGAATAGAATTCAGAAGTCGAGATCGATGTAAATCGTGATAATGAGAAGTAATAAAGAGTAAATGGACGTTTAAAAGCCCTGTCGACGAATAAGAACTATTATATATCTGTGAGAAGGTGGAAGGGTTAGAAGGGAAAATAGATTCGGGAGAAGGTTCTTAGGGACGGAAAGAAAACTGGGTGAACAGAAACCGCAGAAGGTTCCAAGTGTTAAATACTAAAAAAAAGAAAGCCACATCTGGTGTGGTTACCACCTCATGGGTAATAATAAGTATTACTTGCCTGATGCATCCCTTCATAAGTGTCGATTATTTGAGGATGTGGTGATAAAAAGAATGAATAGTTATATTCCCGAATAAAATCGACCTAAAAAAGTATCGTTCATTGGTTACTTCGATGTATTTTGTGCTCTGTGATTTACTGAAGCATCTGTTAAGTGCTTACGTCTTTACTGACTCAAGAAAAATAACACATTTACTTGTACTTCAATACTTGTTCAAAATTACCTGTTTCGTTTGAGGACGAGGGAAAAATTTGATGGCGATTTTCTGTTTAGATTGCTTATGCTCGGCAAGTTTGATGTACCCGAATCGCCCCGTTCCGAGCTAAAGAAAATCGATTCTATTGTCATCATCTTTCTACCAGATAGATTAATTATTGAATAACTAGTAAGTAACCTGTTTATAGACCGTGTATACGTCTTCGATGTTAACTTTTTTGATGGGGTCCATTGTTACTGATCCGCGTTTCACAAATACACTGCTACGTCGTGAATTTACCACGTCGGCGGCGTCAGAAGGTCGAGACGAGACATTCTACAAAAGTTACTCTTACAGCTTTCTAAGTAGTAAAGAACCTTCACTCAAAGATCAGTTCCCGATCAATACTTCGATTTTGTTTGGAATTGAGTGGAATTCCAATCACTGTACGGCTTTTATTTATCGCTAACAACTATCCTATTGACAAATTCCAATCCATTTTGGGTTTAAGCATGAGTTTCGAAATAGTTGTCGGCTGGGAAATTGCGTGATTTCATCAGCATCTTTGGATTTTGTGATGAGCCAGCCGGAATTGTAGTTTTACTCCCACAATGGGCTGGATATAACTAGTAGTGAAGTTACTGGCGGAAGTAATGAACTGAGTAATGGATGCTACACACGCAGGCCCCGAGACAGTGGAAGCGAATGATTCAGACGCAAACAGTAAAACGGAAGGAGTCAGGGAAGAATGGAGAACGACCATGAACTGGATGATCTTTCGGGACCAACAGAAGGAACGAGTCATACCTTTCAAATCAATTTTTGGGGAAACAGTATATGATAGAGAGCTCGAGTGTTAGACTGGAGGATCGGACATGCGGAGGTCGAGACCAGACCGTATTCCTTGTGTTTTATCCGCTGTGTTCGAGATGTAAGCAAACAGGTCTCACACCTACATATTCGCGTCACCGATACCACATTCCAGTCAGTTTTACATCAATATGGTAGATAAGAAGGGGGTTCATGTTTAATTTTCTTGACTGATCCTTTGCAGATCGATTCGGAAGCAGCTTCAGACCGCTATTACTACTAATTTGTTACTGTAATACTAATAACCCTATGCAAAATTTGTGCTGAGGTGATTTAGTGGCACTATCCCACACGCATGCATGATCACGTGTTCAAATCCCGGATCTGGGCCAACCAAGCTTTCCATCCCTTCGGGGTCGGTACCGGACTCGACTGGGAGTACGAAAATACTTACTTTTACAT